AAATCTGCCAAACTTTCCATACTACTTCTGAATAGGATCTCTACTTCAGAAATTTTATGAAAATTGTGAAAAAAATGGTTCATATCACTCAAAACACATATAGAAATGCAGGTGCCCTTATATGGGCAGTAATGGAGTCTGATTGTGCCCTAGTGAAAAAGTTTGGTACTGCGCTCAAACAAAATCTTACAGAAAGCTCATTTTTTGAGATATCAGCCTAAAATTTGAAACACAACTTGTTCAGATTTTTGCTTTGATCTTTCTGCCATTTTAGAGTAGCCCAGGTTTTGAAAATATATATTTTATGTAAAATATGAATAATTAATATTTTTACATTGTACATTTCCATAAACTCAAACTTCTATAACTTTTTTTGTTTCACTTTCTTAATTTATTTCACTTCTACAAAAATCTGCCAAATGTCTTCTTTAAAACAAGACCAATCATATGTCTATATTCCAAAGCATTCTTGAATTACAACCATTTAAGTTTGAAATGTGCATTTTCATGTCTATTCAAAAAGGGGGGGGGGGTGACAGTTAAGAGGTTAAACAGGTTTCTCAGTGACTTTTGTTCTCAAGCTATAATAATAATAATAATGAGGCACAAAATAACAGATTTGCATTATTATATATTTTCAAACAAGATCACTAGATTGCCCTAATCTATGGAAAACTGAGCTTGTTGTGCTGTTCTGGGACAGACGCAGCTCATTCAGGGTGGGGTGTTTTAGGCAGTTTCAGTCAGTGCAGGTGAAGGTGTGTACTGAATGGAGGGTGTGAAATAACTTAGGCCTATATTTACAATGCTAATTATAACATGCTAAAACAGAGCTAATCGTTCTTCAGTCTGTACTAATCCAATGACAACGCATAACCATTTTTCACTTTTTTGTACCATTCAAGAGCATGAAGCAAACTGTAATTATTGGTAAGGAGTTTACCTCTTACCTTGACAGAAGTGAAAAGTAGGCCTATGTTAGTGTGGTAAACTAAAAGAAACTTGGCATAGAAAGTAAAGGTGGGTAAAGAAGAGAGAGGGGTGGGTCAGTATCATTAACATCCTATATATATTTTTCTATTTTGTTGTCTCCATCCCTAGAATAATAACAAATATTGTCTGCTTTTTTATTTGCTAGAATAATACGTCCCAAGAATAATAACACAATTACAGAGAATCAAGTGTGATATTTGGATAATACATTATATAGTAGTATCAATCATATGTTTCCATTTAAAAACATATCAACAAGGGCATGTTGTGATTTTGGTGTGCAGAGTTTGAAATGAAAGGACGGATGACTGTAAACTAGATGACAGACATTGCACAATATGTTAAATATTACAGTTACAGTGAAGGTGTGGGTGAAGCAGTTTTATTGTTTATGCAACAGTTAAACGGTAATGCCAAATGTCACCCCATGATGGCAGCATTTTCTCAGTCAAAATTATTCATCACATCTCTCTGTTTACAGCGTCGAAATTGTGACAATTCGTATTCCTTTAGTTATGAAGTTTTGTTTTCGTCTTTGTTCGATTGATGTCTCTTAAATCCTCTCTGAATATCTCCCTGAACTTCCCTTGCTCTGCATGAAAGAAATGTAACACAGTACAACTATAAAGTCAGAGAGATAGTGTGCAGTAAATACTAATTAAAGTATATAAAATAAAATAAATACAAGGTCTAAACCCCTTAAAAGTGGCAGATATATAAGGGTAACGTGTGCAAAGAAGTACAAATTATTGCTCCTTGTTCCACCACTGATGCGAGCTATTATTTTAACTCCAACCAAAAAATTAAACACACTTACATACAAACATACATGCATATATAGGCCTATAACTCTGATTGAACTTGACTCAATCATGGACAGCAGTTCCACATGATAGAAACTGATGTTATCTCACTCACATACTTCATGTGGGATGAACTAAACTGCAGTTTAAATGAAGTGAACAACATCATTCATAATTAAATAAGTCTCCTTATATTCTCCAATGAAAAATATCGACTGGTAGAAGCAGAACTGAATGCTTACTGATATACCAGTAATGCTTTGTTGTTTTAGTTGTAACCAGTGGGTACAAACCCTGAACCCTTGACGTAACCCATGTAGTTGCTTACACTAGCCTACTATACTTTTGTGGGTAATACCAACACATTCTCACCCCAAGGCGTCACCTTTGACCACGCTTCAATATTTGACGCTTTTAGGCGCTAAAGGAAAAGCGTCAGTTAGATGACGCGGGTAGGTTTAGGTCTGGGGTAGGGTTACACGCGATCCTAGGGCGTCATCTAACTGGTGCTAAAGGGCGCCTAAAGCGTCAGATATTGACGCATGGTCAAAATGCTTCCCAAGGCGTCAGTTGGGTGACGCCTAGGGCTGGTAATACACAAGTAGCCTACACTGAAAGTGCATGTACTGCAAAATAAAGTGCTGTGCAACCAGTCTAGATTGAACTTATCAGGAGTTTATCTTTTAAGAAGTGGGTATAGCAAATGAATCAAGATGCAAAAGGCTATTTAAGAAACATATCCGCCATTACACTGGCACTTGTCCAGTCTTCCTAGATTAGCAGAGAAGGACATTTGCTTTATCACTGCAGCAGCTCTCTCATTACCCCTCTCTCTCTCTCTCTCTCTCTCTCAATTCAACCCAAACACTTTTCTTCTGCTTCATTAAGTGTGTTTGTGTGCGTGTTTGTGTGTGTATCGTCTGGAGGGCAAACATGAGATGATGTTTGTGGGAGTAAGCAGGGCTATGTGTGTGTGTGTGGCCTTGCTTGCTGCATAATTAAACATCAGCAGCAGCCTTGTGGAGGCCAGATGCAGACCGAATGAAACAGTGCGGCAGAGGGCACAGCCTATACGACCCCCCAGACTGACACAATATGCAAGCGTCAACTCCTGCCTCCACATCTGTCTGTCTCGCTGTTCAGCAGGGATATTTTTGTCGCCCTCGGACACAGTAATTGAACCAAGGGTAAAATATATTTGAACATCTCAGATGAGAGGAGTCTGAACTCTGCATAGCTGAGGTATTAGGTCATAAATGGGAAATGACACAAGCGTGTGTGTGTGTGTGGGAATCTCTCACAGACACAAAGCACACATCACTCACTGTGTCCCGTTACAATGGCAAACCAAGCAGACATCGGGGAGGCAGACATGAGCTGAATGTAATGAAACACTCAAGAATAAACTGATATTTGACAGCTCGGTGTTAGTCTGGGAATTGTTTTTCCTGTGGATTGCAGGTTTGGGTGAGCGAGTGTTTCTCTGAACAAGAGGAGTTTTAAAAAGACACTTCAAGGCAAGACAACACAGGTAAAAAAAAAACTAATAGACAGTTGATTAACCACCACAGGACCTTAATTGTTTTGCAGTAGACATTTGAATGCTATTGAACTATTATGGTTAAATAAGCAAATGAGTCATATGCACTATTGTGCATAACTTTCCAGAAGTTATATAAATTATGAACATTGAATTAAGCCACTATCTTCAAATTACTTTAAAAAAAAAAACATTTAGTTAACATATCAGAGTTAAAGGTTTTTAAAGAGGATTGTAGATTTCTATTTCTATTTTTATCACCCCATACATTGGATTGATAAAGCCAGAAAAAAAAAACATCATGTTGTTATTAATAAATAAATTAGGCGAATGATATATGAAAAAATATAGAATATAGATGAGAATGAAATTGGAAAGTCTGTTGAAAGTGCTACTGAAGTGGAGAATTCTGGCTCAGTAAATAGTTAATATTGTAATGTATTTCAAATAAATTTATTTTATGCTAAGTATGCTACAAATTTATGTACATATTTATGTACTTCTAAATACCCTCTAATTGTACTGAATTGATATACTTAGTCTGCTAATTTGGAACAATTAATTCTGTACTTAATGTACTTTGGTTATGGAAGTAGAGTCCAACTAAAGATATACTGAAATATATTTGATCGTGCTAAAGTGGAACTATTGCAAATATACTTAAAAGTCTTTCATTTAAAGACTGATATTATACAGAGATCACACTATGCTTACTAGTAGTGATATTAAAACACATTTTAGGCTTAATATTAAGAAAAGTGCAATAAATAAGTAAAATAAAGCTTAATTATAGTATTTATGTCAGTGTCAGGCGATATGTAAGTAAATAGCCTATGTTAATGGATTAGTATACCTATTAAGAAATAAATGTATTTTAAATACATTTTGGTATGGTTTTTTTTCACTATGGGAATCTACAGATGCAAATAGAAAAAGTGTAAAAAAAAACAAAAAAACAAAGATTAAGATTTTAGATGCCTGTTGTGTCTAGCCTTGAAAGACTAAACTCTCGGGTTGGGGGGAAAGATATCAATTTACCTATTAATTGAGATCTTCTTCTGAATTATCTTGATTCTAAAAATCCAGATGCCAAAACGAATCAAACTGAAACCAGTCTCATTACAGCATTAAAGAGAAGAAGAAAAAAACCTTGTATAGACCACAAGCGTCAGCTGGCTGAGTCTGGGTAAAAACAGTGATAATCTGATCAGACAGTCATTAAAAGATGAGCTCCATGGGGCGCCTTCGCCCAGTCTAGCAGTGGTATGAGCTCAGCTAATGCTGGCTACAACAACATCCAGACTACTGAGAGAGGCAGAGGCAGGACAGAAGATTGAGAATGAGCAGACCGCAGGCTGCAGCTAGTAATTAGACCACAGTGACCATATGAGTGACTGAGATAGAGAGAATGTCACAGGGATTAGTGAACAGGGACATCAGAGATAAATGTTTTTGGAGGGTGATGCAGTAGACACCTAAGGCAGTGTACAACACTGGTCATTTCTTCTCAGCAAGTGAGGGAGAATGTATAAGTGACCGGATAGGACTTAAAAATGAGATATGGGACTAAATACATTTAAAGTTGATTACAAACCACATCCTTTCTAAACAAATGGGCTAAAGTCCAAAATCCTGTTCTATTAAAATAAACACAGTAGACAAAATGTATGTATAAAACGAAAATGCCTTTATTTATACAACTTTAAAAAAGCAATTTAAAGCACAAAGACTTTAATAAAGATTTTGTCCTGCATAAAAATGATCGCATATTGTGCTTCCTTTGCAAACTCTGTACAACCTCTGGGTATGCAGCTGTTGCGATCCAGTTCAACCATTTATTGCATACACATGAAATACACGTCAACTTATAACTCAAGAATGAAAAATAAGTGTCAAAAAGGAAGAGGGGAAAAATATCAACCACGTTTCTACCGTTTTTCCAATTCTAAAATGTAGCAGCTTGCAGAGGAAGGCTTTGCACATCGTCCAGAATGGAAATATATATTAAGAGAGAGAGAGAGAGAGAGAGCTAGATGAGAATAAATTAATTCAAGAAACTATAGTTGTGCTTTAACATTGCTTACTTAAAGGAGTTCACTCAAATCCAAACGTTTGGTAAACACAACTCAAAAAGGAGGCTGCTTTGAAACCAGGCTTTCAAGATCAGACATGCTGTTCCAAGTCTCTCTTTTCCCTTTTGAAAAATGTAGCGCAGAGCGTTAGCTCTACATCAAGATTTGCACACATGCCCATAGATAGCAGTGATTAATTAAATTCCTAGTTCCCTTCTATATTCACTCTATATTATAAAAATCTAGACTGGAGGTAAAAAAAAAAAAAAAAAAAAAAAAATCAAAAGGCATTTCTTTAGATGAGGAAAGGCATGTATATACCACCGAATGTTCCATTAATCACACCATCTTTCAAAAGAAAACTAAAAAAAAGAAGAAAAAAGACAAATGCTCGATGGCCTTCCACACTCCAAAGTTCAAGATAGAAATAACGCAAACTTCAGAGACTTTGGTACAGAATAAATGAAATCGCTCTCTGCCTAAACACACAACTGTCTGCCCATTAAGCGACAAGTATGAAATATGCATAGTAGTATATGTGAGATCCGTGTCGGTGAAACTACAAGAAACCAGATTTTCATGGAAAAACATGATTTTTAAACCAAAAAAGGTCAACACAAATGTATGCCACCAGGCTAAAGCACCCATAGTCTCTCTAAAAGCTATCTCTGCCAAACAAACCAGAAGCTTTCAAATAAAACATTTAGAAATGTCACATTTTTCTTCTCTGACATTTACTTTCTGTTAATCGGAAGCCAAAAGCCCACACTAGAATGTGAACATCTGTTTGAGATGGTTCTGAACAGCAGGTTGTCAGATAATGGGATATCTCGCCATCTTAATGGCTATGTGAGATTAAGATCGACAGGATTCAGCCAGGTGGAGGTTTTACTGTGAGGTCAAGAGGCTGAGAAACATTAGGAAGTGACATGGCCAAAACTCTTGAACTCAAGAAAATATTCCCATATGCAATCTCAAACACTTGGCTACACTAGACAGGGGGCTGTGTAGTATTATATTGTTGTGACGAGATGCTTTTGGATAAAAACAAAAAACAAAAACAGATGCTGTAGTCTTGCATCCAAATCATTTCACTATTTTAATGAGGAAGTTTTTATGATGTGTTTATTTTAATACATGAAACTGCATCTTTTGCTTGGCTAAGATGCTAATTATTGAACTGCTCTTGCTCTACATAAATGGCGACTGTGTTTTTGACACTCAAACCAAAGGGAATTAGATTTTACCTAAAAATAATAATAATACAAGACCTAATACAGTTGTCTAAAAACAATTTGTAAATTAAATAAAAAATTGAGGGAAAATTGAGGAAATGGATACAGCTACAATAACCTAGCAATCGGAAAACAAAAGGTGGACATTCCCTTATAAAATGATTCACCGCCAACAAGGCATGAGAGAGAGAACAACTTGATTGATGTCACAATTCATCACATGGTTGTACAAAGGCATCCTCACCACACATGCATGCCACACAAGTAAAGTGCATGACCAGTCTACATGTAGCACACTTCAACTGAGGTTTAACTTCTTATTGGGATGAACACAGGCTACACGACCATTCAGACTCCCTCTAGTTTCTCAAAAAGCAACCAAACTGTTATACTCTATGCTTTGTGTTTGATAATCTAGCGTAGTGGCGTCTTAATACCTATAACAATGTTTCCTGAAATCTGTTGTAAACATGAAGCAAGGGACCTATGACCTACTCTCTAAAGCTTTAAGTGCATTATGGGCAGGACTGGGCCGCATTAGTGACAGCTCAATCTGATTGTGGTGAGGTTTTGACAGAGCAAAGGATCATGAAATGCAGATTGGAGGCTGGACAGTAGGCTGAACAAAAGGCGTTGTGTTCCCTTCTAATGTCAAACCGATTTAGTAAACCTTCTCTGAAACATAATGCTACACTTGAGGACATTTTGAGCATTTTTCTCCGTAGCTTGTATGCATTAGTGTTAAGCTCACAGGCTACGAACTTAAATGACTGTTGCAGCAAACTTGAATGTTTTTGCCTGTCTGGTGACTGACTATTTTCTGAGCTTTACTTCGAAAGAAGGTTCTGAAAGCTGCTTTTCGATCCCGCATCTTGACTGAACTATGCCAAAATGTGGCAAATCTCAGCAGACGAGTTTCTCACTCAAAAAACCTGCAGATCTGGAGCTTTGAATATTAAATACCTAAGCCCTCCCTCTTCCTCATCCAGACACATGCTGCAAGCAGCTGCGTTTGTACCTAATTAAAACCTCAGCACAGACACCAGAAACACTGCAAATTACTGTCTCAAACAGAAGGCTACCGAAGTGTTCAGCCATTTTTTCCTCCATGCTAGACACAGTGGCCCTCACAGAGGCAGTCAGGAAGAGGACGTGAGGGTTTAAAGAGGTGTGCTCCGCTCTAGTTGTGCTTTGCCCTGCCTCCTTTCAGGTAGCTTTTCCAGCGCTTGACGAAGTCCCTGAAGATGGGCGAGTTGTCAATAGTACCCAGCAGCTGTAGCTGGTTGATGTGCGTTGTATGATAGTCCCAACGGGCCAGGTTGGGCGCCATGCCCAGTATAAAGTGGCGCAGGTCATAGATGGTGCCCGACCCCGTGTCATATAAGGGCAGCATAACTTTCAGAGACTCCATTCCCTTGCTGTACAGCTGACCTGCATCCCGACCGAGTTTCTCACCAGCGGTTTGCGCCAGGTCATACAGGCCTATGAGGGAATAGATGAACCCGTTCAGAACGAAGGAGCTAGGGATTGTGGGATACTCCTCATACCAGTCATACTTATTCATAAACACGGCTTTGACGCCGTGCTGCTCCGACGGCAGTTTGAAAGGTCCGGTGGCACGCAGGGCAGCCTTTAAGTACGTGTCATCTTTTGTCATCAGATAGGCACGCACTAGAGTGGACATGGCCTGCCCCTGCGCCATGGCCGAATACCAACCCGGCTCCAGCGCACGGAAACCTTCCCCAAGTTTACGAGTCACCATGATTGGCCAACCACCACGCTCGTCCTGGTTGCGCACCAACCAGTTGCTGGCGGCGAAAAAAGCCGCCATATGTGAAGTGGTGGAGATTGTGATATTGTCTATCATCCCGTGGCCGTGCAACAATAACTTTACGACACGTCGGGGCATGGTCTTGGTGGCTTTGACCGCTTTGGTGTTGGAGAGGCCGATGCCTTTGCGGAGGTCAGTGAGAAGGTCACGGGTGACCGTGGTCCATGCTGTCCGAGGACCGATCCCATAGGTGATGTCACGGTCCTTAAAAGAAATGAGCTGGGTAGTGGTGACATAGTGGATAACAAACGGAGGCCCTTTCTCTGTGGTCTCCAAGATGACAGAGACGCTACCATTAGATGTGAACTTCAGGTCAAAAGAGATGATGAAATCTTTAGTGTTGCCAAGAGGAAGTGAGACGCCCTCTGAGTTTTCTAAAACACAAGGAATAGAAAAAGGAAATGTTACAACACATTTAACAGGATGTCTACAAGGCTTGGATCCATAGCAAAATACTGGCTTTGGAACAACAAAAAAACTTAAGGTACTGATAGTAAATAGATGCTATAAACAACAAATAATCAACCTTAATGACTATTAAAGGAGTAGTTCACTTACCCCCATGTCATTCTTTCTTCAGTCGAAAAGAAATGATGGTTTTTGATGAAAACATTCCAGCATTTTTCTCCATATAATGCACTTCAGTGGGAGCCAAACCGTTCAAGGTCCAAGACACTTTCAGTACAAACTGCAAACTGTTCAAAGGGCTTTTAACGACACCAGACGATGAATAAGGGTCTTATCAAGCGAAACGATCGCTCATTTAATAAATAAATAACAAAGTTTAAGTCTTATAAGCTCAAATGGTCGCCTTGCTCTGTACTGCGATGCACGTTCGTGACTCTCCTGTTCGTTCATAAAATTAAACGATGCACTTCGTGACTCTCCTGTTCGTTCATAAAATTGTCATTTGGTTCATTCAACGAACGAAACGATCGAATTGACTCTGAAAAAGATTTGTTAATTTTGATGAATGAATTCGAACAGGAGAGTCACGAACGTGCATCGTAGTAGAGCAAGGCGAGCATTTGAGCTTATAAAACTTACACTTTTTTTTTTTTTTTTTTTAACTGAGCAATTGTTTCGCTTGATAAGACCCTTATTCATCGTCTGGAATCGTTTAAAGCCATTTGAACAGTTTGCAGTTTGTACTGAAAGTGTCTTTGGACCTTGAACCGTTTGGTTCCCATTGAAGTGCATTATATGGAGAAAAATGCTGTAATGTTTTCATCAAAAACCTTAATTTCTTTTTGACTGAAGAAAGAAAGACATGGACATCTTGGATGACATGGGAGTGAGTAAATTGTCAGCAAAAGTTTTTTGAAAAGTGAACTACTCCTTTAAGACCGCACAGTATAAACCATTGCAAGTACAAAGGTTTGTTGCATGTTTTTCCAAGCATTTTAATTTCTGTGAGCCTTTGTTTTCCATTGTTTTTTATTTGAAAAAATATTTTTTTTAATGAAGATTAAAATTTAAAATGTTTGCATCACAGTATTATTATCGCTATAACGCCTACAGAACCTTTCCCCAGTTTTTTTACAGTATCATATGCATAGACCCACTTGTTCATACAGATTCACACACACCAAGAGATACTTGGGAATAGTGATGGTACAGGTTGTCTTAAAACCACAAGGTTTCATTCATCACTTTCTCTTGGGGTTAATTAAACAGACACATTGGTGTCAGAGGCAGAAAGTGAAATAACCGTGAAAAAAAAACTTCTAAAACAATCTATCTGACATTGTTGGTCAACTGTTTGGTACACACTGCAGTGCAACTCACTGCAAAGTGAGCAGATCAGTTACCCGACACTCAATCAAAGTACTTTATCTCTCTTTTTACAGAAATGCACATTCAACACTTCATCCTAAAGTCATCTCTCATTGTTAGTGTCAAATCCCTCTCGCCGCCTCAGTCTGCGCTGCCTTCTGACAAGGTTATGCAGAACAAAAAAGGAAACCTATTCATACCCTCTACAGAGAGGAGAAAAGGAGGCATGAAAGAGCAAGAGAAAAAGACTAAGGTTGGAGACTTAAGCAAGAGTAAACACCCAAGACGGAGTAATATCAACAACATTAAAGGGACAGGAGAGGGATAAAGGACAAAAGTCAATCAAGGAAAAAGAAAAAAGGCAGTAGAGGGCATTTTGGCTCAAACAGCCCCTATCACTATTTAATGCACTCATAAATCCATTACTTAAGGCAATCCAGAGACTAAGTGGATTTGTACTGTCCTGCTCTGATTACCCTCGCATCAATAGCAGTGATGTGGAGGACGGAGAGAGCGGGAGGGAGGCAGCACCCTGCTGGAGCCCTGGACCCAGTGTGTCCTAGTTGGCTCCACTCTAATCAATGCTCTGGGTGATGACACCAATTACTGCCTGCCACCGCGACAGGCTTGCTAATTCTAATGGCTATTGATTAGCTCAATGCTAAAAAGCAGCACGATGTGTCCAAGACCTCAGAAATGCTGCCTTATCATGCAGTATCCCGAGGGAGGAACAGAATGTACTGTCTACTGTGATGCATCTGGTCGATTTCTGAAGGCAGCATAGATGTCTCCTTCACTACCTGCGATACCCTATAATTATGTGTGTGCAATTTGACAAACAAATGTTGAAAGAAATATATTTTCTGATGAAAGAAGTTTTTTTTTTTCCCCACAGCATTTGATTCTATTTTTACATACAATCAAGCATTGTAGTCATTAAATAGCACCTTTGTTAGTTTTAAAAGATGACAGTGGCACTTGAATATATTTTAAAGTGTAATTTATTCCTGTGATGGCAAAGCTGAATTTTCAACATGATCCTTGAGAAATTCTAATGATCCATTCCAACATTCAATTTGGTTTTCAAGAAACATCTCTTATCGTCTTATCGTTTTATGGAAATTGAGATATTTTTTCAGGATTCTTTGATGAATAGAAAATTCAAAACAGCATTTATTTGAAAAAGAAAAGGGTCATTTTTGCATAACATAAATGCATTGACTGTCACTTTTGCTCAACTGAATGCCTCCTTTCTAAATAAAAGTTTAAATTATATATATATATGTGTGTGTGTGTGTGTGTGTGTGTGTGTGTGTGTGTGTGTGTGTGTGTGTGTGTGTGTGTGTGTGTGTGTGTGTGTGTGTGTGTGTGTGTGTGTGTGTGTGTGTGTGTGTGTGTGTGTGTGTGTAAAACCGATCGCAAAAGTTTGAAAAGTAGTGCATGAGGCACCATTAGTTGATTCTGTTTTGACATTTTGAGGGTGTTTATGTGCATACCCATTGGAGCAGGACTGTAACAGGCCATGCAAAGATGCTGATAGAAGAATACAGAAGAGATAAGGAAACAGATAGGGATGCAAAAACTGGTTTGATTTCATCAGACTAAAGTATGTACATGGAATTTTAAAAAGATACTGAAACTGAATAGTAAACATACTAAGTGTGAAAATGGAAGACAGAGAATCCCACAGAAATAAAAAAAAAACAGATTAAAAACAAACATGTAGTTCCATTTCTGTTTCTTTACCTGGAGCGCTAAACTGTCGTACTGATGTGGCTCTGGTCTTGTCGTAGACTCTGGTGATAGAGCAGCCTTTAGAGACTGTCCATGTGCTAGATCTGCTATCTCTCTCCTCCACTGTGTCATATACCTCCATGTGGGGCGGCCGCTCAGTCAGGTTTTTACTGTAATGACTCAGGCCATACTGAGCTATCTGGATAGCATAGAAATACCCTTGAGGGCCCCATTGGGTGGATAAAGGTACTCCTATAGGGAAGAAACAGAAGTAGAGATATGAGAGAATGGGTGTTAATCTGAGAAAAGAGAAAAGTAGCACAGACATTTATATACACTTTTTACAGGGTTTTTACAAGCGTTTTAATAATTATCACAGTGGTACTCACATTGATATTTCCAACAGAGTATCAGACTCTGAAGTATAATGTGATGCACATAATAAAGCAAAGTGCCTAAAAGCCCCCTTAAAAAACGGCAACCGCAATATAGACCCAAATACACCATTAGACTCCAACAAAAACCAATAATAAATAGTTATTTCACTGAGTAATATAGGTTATTGGCCTTTAGACTTCTTTTTCGGTTGCCAAGCAACACTAGCAAATTGCCTTATTAACACAAAATTCAACATTCACAAGTGTTCATAAACAAACTGTTTAGCTTGACCACTTTATAGGCTTAATATGCGTCAACCGTTTTAAAATAATAGCTTTACTGTTGAGTCTTTTTAAACTCAAGTCTGTTAATGTGAAGCAGTGGTTTCTGCGCTGCGATGCCATCTTCATTCATTATGAATAATCTTGTTTCTGGTTTCATGACTTCTAAACAATTTCACCGGCAAGTACTGACAAGTGAAAGCATAAACCCTTCAATTAGCCAGAGATGCACAAAAGAGCGGTGAACACAGGAAGGACAAAGCCACTGAAGCAAACAGTCTTCAGTTAGTACCAGTTACCTTGATATCAAGCATGAAGTTGTTCTGTCAGAGTTATAGGTCAGTGGGCTTTCATTAACTCTCTCTCTATCCTTTTTTTTCCCATTTAACCACAGCTCATCTATTCTACAGCCTGACATGACAGTAATCAAGCCACAGGCAAAACACTGCGACCGCGCTGCTGGTTTATTGCTGGCCTTAAAGCGTCTATTCACAAACATACACATAAAAATCCACATGCAGGGTTAAACACAGACATAACAAGGCAATATAGATGACAAACACACCAATGAGACTGCCTCTCGCTTTCCATGATGCACACACACTGGCTCTAAGTGGGACCTGTATCAGGAGGCAATTGGGCACTCTGGAGGCGCTCTCTGGCCTAGATACTATTCAGAGCACTCTGATCCTCAGCTAGAGAAGACGCCATCCCTCAAACTGAAGGAGGAGGAAAAAGGATCTCTCTTTCACTGTCACCATCCGTACTCATCTCCTTTTCATTCCTTTTTATTCGCTCTCTCTCTCCCTCCTTCAGTAAAGACTGATGAGTGTGTCTGCCGTCTCTGATAATAGGCTCTGCTCTAACACACTGCCTCAGGCCCATGTGGGTTATTACCTCGGAGCTCAACACACTGTTTTTCTGTCTCTGATGCCCGGGATTAGAAAGAGGGGAACAGAACCTCTAATTAATCTTTGTTTTGTGCATTTGCAACACCTTTAAAAAAAGAACATATTTTATACTACCGTGGATTAAATCTGCTGAGGAGATCAATACCTCTTTCTGTTGCTGTGATAATTTGGTGCCGGAAAGATTACCTTAGTGACAAAAAAAAAAAATGACAGACAGAGCAGGTCGCACAACCTTCTCACCGGCATTCCTTAAAAACTGGACTGAAGCCTGAGCTTAAATGTCACACTTACATTTTGAGGCTCCACTTTCATTTTCCATGGATACCAGAGGAGATTCAGAGGCAATGCTTTAAACCTCAGATGATTCCCTACAGGCACCTTCATTCCAACACAGTCATTACTGCTACAGAGGTTCTTTGCAGCGTTCCGAACAGAAAGGGGTTCCAGGTAAATAGCCTCTGAGTAATGGACAGGCGGTTGGTTATGGAGGAGAGGAGCCAAGCAAGAAAACAAAAAGGGGACTGGCACAAACTCCATCGTTTTTGAACTGTCACAGACATTGAAGATTTCTGGCCCTATCTTGCACCCGGCACAAATGACTTCGTACACTGATGCATGTATCATTCCTATTTTGCACCCGCACAAAGCAGGCTTTTCTCTCCAGAGATGCAAGTCGGTATACTAAGAAATGAACCTGGGCGGGTCATTGCAAAAAGGAGGCGTGTTTCGGCGCAAACATTCCCTAGTGCTATTTTGCAGTTCCAGAAAACAATTCTGCCACTGACCAGAAAAAAAACCTAGTCTAAAGTCAGTGGCGTGTTGCTTGTTGTTCCTAATGCTATTTTTTGTGCGTATGAACGGCCATAAAGTAGCGGGTGCACAACGCGCATACACTTTGATTCTCTAATCAACACAGATTTTTTTTATATTAGCAAATCATACATTATAACAAGGAAAAATATAAACACACAAGGGAAATCATTGTGGTGACCATGAATATGTAAAAAAAAATAAAAAAATGTAGGCCTAAATTTAGCTTGCACATTTACACAAATTTTCCAGGCTAATTGTAGTAATGAGGGATCAGACCTCCGTTTGCCCAATAGTGGCAAGGACATCCGACAAGTTAGTTTGTCCGTCAAGAACCAGGAAAAAAAAAAATCTCCCATCCCCATACAAGAACGTCGGTCTCCTCGGCTGTGAACCGCTCCTGGTGTGCGTCTGGTAAAGCCGCCATAATAACAATCCATCATGCAACATGCGCACCTGCTCTTAAAGGGTATGTTGGATGATGCTCTGATTGGTTTATTTCACGTTACGCCCAAACCACACCTATGAATAATGAGACCAACCCCTTTTAAACTTGCGTCGGGCCCAAGAGTCATTTATCCGGCCGGTAAAATAGCAACAGCGCCCAAGACCCGACCACAAAGTTACTTGAGCTTTGTGCTTCATACTTGCGTTTCAGATCGTTAAAATAGGGCCCTTCATCTCTATTTAGACAACCCAATTTTTCCACTTGACACACAGGAATATGTTATGAATGTGCTTCTTTGTGGTGCTACAAAAAAGGGGGAATGCGCACATGGAACAAGGTCCACAAGTTTTAAAAGCTCTCATCAGAAGACTTGACAGTGGTTTAATAACTTTTAGCTGATCTAAACTTTCGGTATTTTAACTGCATAAGTACAGTAGAATGCTTTAAAAAAATTAAGCAAGTGTGCAATGGTTTGTTCACAAGCTTGTCATTGGTTATATCGACGTACACTCGCATATGCAAACAAACAGGCTCAGTCGGCTTTTTATTTGATTCATTTTCATTTCTTAGAAAATTCTCCCACTGTTTTCCATCCTGTGAAGCACTGCGAGAGACTTCATCGTCTTTAGTGAATAGAAATGTTGTGGTTTGGAAGGGATTCTTTATAGTCCACTATTGATCAGACCGACCTCATTTGCAATACTTCCTTACGAAGTGATTACTTCATTACCCAGTCTCATTATAAAGGAACACAGAAGAGTGAAAGGCACCGAATGAATCTCTATTCTTTTCAGAAAGCATTATTTTGTGTTAATAGCTTTGATATGATTGTGATGGTAGCCTGATGGTCAGAGATCTGAGCTCTTAACACAAAGCATGCAGGTTTAATTCCAGGTGATCCAAGAAATGTAGTGAGACTGAGGTTAGCTCTATCGCTGTGATGCCTTGAACAGGGCAATTAACCCTGTCTGCTGAAGGACAGTCCTTACGAAGCGATAGAGAGATGGAGAGAAGAGTGAGCCAGCAGGAAATGGTTGAAAGTAATCTGTCATGGCAGAGAAACAGTGATGGATCACTGACAGAGCAGAGAGACAAATGTGGTTCCTGGACAGTAAAACGCCTCTGAAGGACAAAACCCACACCACCATAATCAGCTTTTTCTCGTCAAGGAGTGTCATATCTTAGTTCATTTTAAAATGCTTGTCATTTAGGATCTTTTACAAAGAAAAAATATTCTGCTTTAATTTGATTTTGCTTTTTCTCATTGAGATTCACTAGAAGACACATGGGAGTCTGAGTGCAAAATTATTCTCCATTACGTCTAAGGTCATCAAATCAACTCTTGAGATTCAGTTCTTGGCTGAATCAATCCCACTTTCATTTGCTTAATGTAAAGTCCATTGAGGGTGCATTACTCACTAAGAAACGGCGTAGATCAGACGTAGATCATTCAAGCCTGGCTTCCAGGAAACTCCTCTTGGACTGCACTAAATGACTATTAATGGCCACTAACAAGTTGTGTTAGAACTGAGGCAGGTCGCTTTGCCTCTCACTTCTCCCATTGTGCCACAATTAAGTGCTGCTTTAATGTGACATGTATTTAGGTGAATCTTGATGATGAGAGAGAAAGTAACTGTGATTTTAATAAAACACATTAGGAGAGCCAGTTATGAGCAGGCCTAGGCAGAATATACTGACATTTCTCACATTTTCTGCTCTAATTATGAAGGGTAAACCCAGCAGAACAGATTTAAACATGGTAAAACAGCTATGCTGAGAATACTATACTTTTATTGGTAGCTGAATACATACTGATGACCGAATGTATAAGGTGGTGATACACGGGGTAACTTTTTTGAGCAATGTTGCTCGGACACTTGATATCTTGATATTTTAGATCGGTCGTTGGTACTATGTCTCACCTGGATGCCTGTTGACGACAACATTGCCCAAAAAGTAGCCCTGTGTATCACCACCTATATCCCACACAACCGATGGCAACCTAGCCCACATCTCTGAGATGCACCACGCATTACGTCATGATGTTGGAAAGGTCACGCATGACATCATTAAACATCCAGAATATGCACACGATAGGACCATTTTAAACAATAAACTGACACAAATAAATATGTGTCATTCAACATACAATAACTTTGAACCTCCTGCTCCAAACCTGTAAACACTGGGTCTGTACTTCCGACTACGTCAAGTATGACCCTACCAAGATTTGGTAATTACATTTGTGTAATTGAACTCAGTATGCTGTTCAGGGTTTTGTTTTCTAACATTATAAATTAAACCAGTCAAAGTAAAGTTATTCATGAACTCTGATATTTCATCCAAACACATTTTTACAAAATTGTACTTTTAAATTGCTACACTACCATAATTTTTGGTGAAGTGCGTTCACACTGTTGACAGACACCTCTTGACACTTAAGTTGTGTGCATAAAATAGATAATAAAACAGTCAAAATTCATCATCACAGAAGTGCTAATGGGCTTTATGTACAGCTGCACTACTTCCTGAACTTAAGTCAGCTCATTGTTTCCTGTCTGCCATTATTGGTCAAATTGATTAATTCAGGTGTGCCTGACCTCAGTAGTCATGGCAACAATAATCAGACACACCTGAATTAATCAATTTGACCAATAATGGCAGAGAGGAAACAAGGAGCTAGCTTAAGTTCAGGAAGTAGTGCAGCTGTGCATAAAGCCCATTTAACATCAATTATTTATATGATATTGGTACTCCACAAATTTCATCCGAAACAGAATACTGATCTTTCTGCTGTTTTAGTCAAATATTTCCAGCAGCCAAAATTGAAGCATCACTATTAAATACAGTTGTAAACCGTGCCTTGGTCATGCATAGGGCCACATTTGAAAAATGTTAATAGACACCTCAGCATAGCAATTCTAAACAACCGTTCTCAGATAAGACTGAATGTGAAAAGGTATCAGTATTAAAACAAAACTCACCTTCAACTCCACTAATGCACTTGACTCTGTCACGCACCTCCACGTTATACCCCTCAAATGACATGAAGACTCCGTTGGGGTGGTACTGCTCTCTCTGGGTGTATACTTTGGAGTAACTGTGCGAAAACTCAAATCGATCGTAGCCGTCGTACTGCACCACCTTCCCGTATACCTCAAAGTACTTCTCCATCCAGCTGAACGGCAGGTATACCTCACTGCCTTCTCGACGACCCTTAATGGTGACATCGTCGTTGATCAGGCAGTCAATCTCTTCGTAGCGTACTCCGCCGACCACAGGTGGAGGTTCGGGGGGCTGGGCCTGCTGTGGATGGCTGTCTACTTTCGGGCTGGGAGGGGGCTGGGGGTGCCGGGGCAGAAAGCGCAGCGCTTTCTCACTCGTACACTTGTTCCACAGAACGACCGTGAGCAGAGAGAGGAGAGCGCAGATCACTATCAGGGTCTTGTAGTGAACACGGGCTGCCAGACAACGCATCATCACTGCTTACCTACAATGTAAACATAAACGAACATAAACACACATTGTATGGAACACCCATTGGCTGAACTGCAATGACAGACAAACATGCAATAAAATACTTACACCACCCCCACAACACCAGTGACATTTAAGATTTAAGCTATCGAGTAATCAGTAATCCAGTCAGAGGAAATTTTATGCATACCTACATGGAATTAATCAGAGTTTAAAAGGTCCAATCAATATTTTTCCCTCTGCATGAATAATCAAATGCAGCATTAGAGAAATTCAATATATGTCTGGATGACTGTGTACACGGTTTTGCATATTGCTTTTAGAATTCATAGCAGCAGGGGAAAAGCATTCATTTTTTGTTCTATGTTTGTTTATTGTTATGGGTATAATGTGTAGCCTTCGTCAAAAAAACACGGAGACTGTCCAAGTGCCTGTTCAAAGGCACAATAAGCTTTTAGTTAATTTCAGTTAGTTACCTAGGCAAAATTTTAAGTATTGTAAGTAAACGTTATATTTAATGTCATTTATAAAGTTAACGAAATATTTATATTTATTTTAGCCTTCATATAAATGAACAAACATAATTTTAAGTTTGGTTAACAATAACAACTCTGCATTCCAGTCAGTCAACAACTTCCATTCAAGAAAATCACAATATCACAAAAATAATCTGAATAAAGCTCCTGAGATGATTTATAATGATACTGGTCTGATAATATTTTAATTTAAGAATAGATTATTCATTCAAATAACCAGTTGAGGAAATGTCACATGCTTTAAAAAAATGCAAATCTAGAAACTCCTATGGTAAATGTGTTTCCACTTTAGTTTGTGTTATTACAAAATAAAAAAAGCTATATTAAGAAAACAGAAGTTTTTTTTTCTTTTTAGATACTTTTCACATTTTGGTTCCATAACTTTTTATGTAATATCCCCAAATCTGCATAAAAATATAAGGATGCAAAGCCAAAAGGTAGTATATTGTATGTACTGTTCTTGCAATAGTGACAAGTATAACAGGAAAGAAAGAATGCAATATTCTCTACACATCTTTCACAAACCATATTGTGCTTATTGCGGTAATGCGGTTTCTGTTCTAGGGAGAGAATCACATTACTTCGTAAACGTAGCTCATAACGCAAATCAGCAGCCTCTCACTCATATCATCTCTTCTCTCTTTGGCAATAAAAATCAATACGCAGAACAGCACTGCCTCTCACTACAGCTAATTACTGTGCTGGGTTTAGCATGGACAACACGCCAATGCCATCATTAGCAGTCCACACCACTGTCAAACTACAGCTAAGACTAAGGTCAACAGAGAACGAAAACACATCAATCCATCAACCCAAACGAAGTGCCAAATATTGCTACACACTCCATATTTAATGATCCGAGCAAAAAGACGTGATGAATGGTAGCCGTACACACACGCCGTCATCCTGACCCACATGTGTATTACGTGGAAACATGATTTCATATATAGTTCTGAAATATTCGCTGCTACGGAAGATCAGAGCAACCGAATCATTCTTTCTTCCAGTCGTCCCGTTTAATCCTCTTTGCAGAGTTTGCACTTGTTTCACAGACCTGCGCTCCATCTCTTTCTAATCTCTTTCCCTTTTACTTCGTCTTCCCCACGTCGACTCCGCACCCTCTGTTCAGAGCATGCAGAGCAGAGTCTGACTGCATCGTGAAAGATAAGCAGCTCATCTTGTTTGCCGAGGCTATAAATAATTTGATCTTTTTGGCTTTCACAGGCAGAGTTCACATGCTGTTACTCTGAGATTCAGACACATACTCAGAAAGTGCTGTCTGAATCCTACCGCAAAGCACCTGCCTGATGGAGCATCTGGATCAGGCGGCCCAACGCAGTGCAGGGTGCATCTGTGTACAAGGATAATTTGCATTCAAATCCACTAATATGCAGGAGATATGGCTGAGCTCTGTATAATCCAGAGATCAAACTAAAAACAGGAGGAACATGGTTGTAATCCCTTCTCTGAACAAGTGGCATAGCGGACTTAAAGGAAGAGTACACCACGTCCTAGAGAGCATCATACCACGCTAGATTTAAGAAAATGGCTTTTCATAGAGGGGCTTACAGCTGGTAATAGGAGTCAGGGATGAATGCGGTTTAACAATGTGCCATCCCCATAGCCACAGCTGTGGCCGATCGGCTCCTTCTAGGAGAATAGAGCTGAGCTCACTTATTAAACGCAGCGCTCTCTGAAACAGAATTCAAAACAAGCACATCCATCTCAGCAGAGCAGTCCCCATTAGAATGCGCTTAGCGCTGTCTCAGTCGCAGTGACGACCTGACGTTGGTCACGCCCCCTCTGAATCCTCGTGTTGATTCATGAGCTGTTCTTTCATCTAATGCAGGCTGCTATCGATTCTCCGCATCTTCAGTTGTTTCCTGCTACCTGGATCACGACCTTGACACACACAGCTGCCCTGGTCAATCCAAAAACAGCAGAACTAACTGTAATTAATAAATATAATGGTATTAATTAGTGCTCAGATGATGTAACATTTGACTTCCCAAAAAAAAACCCCAAATAATTATATTGAGCAATATTTTAAACAAGCAAACTTCAGGATAAATTGGTTCACGGAAATTGGTGGTCTTCTTTTTAATATGTCGCTCCAGTATAGCGAGCAAACTGTACCACTGACATAGTAAAGAAAACGTAGAATCGCTCGTTGTTCTTGATACTCTCCTTCCGCTCTATGAAATCTTAGGATTAGGCGGATCCAATATTTCCTCTTTTTCTCATTTTAAGAAGAGAGAGGACAACAAAATCATCCTCACTGCTTGAAGACTTCATTTTGCACTGTTTTGCTATTTTTTTCCCCGCAACGGATAAATTAATATGCATCTAGCTCAGAGTGCAAGGTTTCTGTGTGAGATAAATTCTTAGGTCTGAAAGTCTTCCTTGTCTTGATCGGTTTCTAAATTGCTTTGTTTCTTGATCATATGTAGCAGTATAGCCCACTGATAATATATCTACCACGGTGCGAAAGACAGCGAAATCTCGACTGGTCGTGACGATGTCTACGATCGCATGGCATATACAGTCTTACTGCCCAGCCTTAGGCCGCACCATCCCAGGCTGCTGTCCTCTGCTGGCACCTTGAGCTCAGGAACAGTGGGAGGTATTGTTGACACATGAAAGGCCATCGTTGAAGGGGGGACAGGGCTGGCACAGGAGAGCTGGGTGCAATGAATACCAAGCTTTCAGCTCATTTGTCACCACAACCCACACAGACCTGCTCCTGAGACTGCACGCCTGTCCTCCCTACTCCGGCCTGCCATAGGCTCTTCATGCAACACCAGACAATGCAGAGAGGAGCTGGAGCCCCACTGATGATTTTCTTTTATTTATTTATTTATAGCATTTATGCTACATGCTATAATAAGTAAGTTATGGTAATAAACAATCAATTGTACTAAAGAGAATTAAAGCTTTAAATGCTGGCTTTAGAATGAGAAAATCTTACAATGGGAAACAACATGACACATCTAAACCACAGGGTATATTTACTAATGTGCATGTTTAATCCACTATGAAACTTCTTTCAAAACTGAAAGGTTTTGTGACAAGGGTTTGGCAGTAAAAGAAACAGATAGCGAATCTAAGACCTATTTAAGGAAACTTAATAAGGGTTAAATGGTATCCAACCGCATTTTGAAATGCCACAGGGAATAGGATTTCCTGCTCTATTACACAACATATTAATCACAGTATACCGTAAATATGAGCCATTGCGCTGGCTTGTACATCTCAAACCAAACACAGGAAAGAAATTACATCATGTCTCCTGAGGTAAGATTTTGATCATAACCAATATGGCTTCTGGAAAAAAAAGAGCAAGACTCAGAAGGGCTGATACACCCATGTTGTTGAAGTCTTCTGTCATTCATTGGCTGCTTGGAGCTGTAGACTACAATTTGCCAACTGCCTGCAAACAGCTGCACAAAATTGTAGGCATAACAGAAATCCCTGGCTAAATTGGCAGTCAGAATCCAGTCCTGGATCATGGCAACCCAACTAGAGTAGAGTGCTTAAAGGAGAACACAGGCGCAAAATTAATCTTTGGTCTAATAAAAAATTGGTACCTAGTCAACCATTCTCTGAGATTTGTTTTCATGATAAATCGAATGTAAAGAGTTTTATCTCTAAAAACTGTTTAGCGTATAACGCTATATGGGGGCATATAATAAGTAAAAAGAAACCGCTTGTTAATACCACTAACAAGGCTCAAAATAGCCCCACACTAACACAGTAACATAATGAGGGTCCCTACATGCAAAACGAAGCATTGAGAACTTGACCGCCGCTCAAACAGTTCAGCTCACTTGGCACGTCGTTCGTGGTTCGACTCATCAAGACCATTTTCCAAAGATGGCTCCTGCCTGTATACACGAAGTGGACTGTCTTTATAAAGTATCTTCTTATTAAACTGTCTTTACAAAGTTCTCAGTGCTTCATTTTGCATGAAGGGACCCTCATTATGTTACTGTGTTAGTGTGGGCTATTTTGAGCCTTGTTAGTGGTTTTAACAAGCGGTTTCTTTTTACTTATGATATGCCCCCATATACTAGCGTTATAATCTAAACAGTTTTTAGAGATAAAAGTCTTTACATTCAATTATCTTGAAAACAAATCTAGGAGAACTGTTGACTAGGTACCAATTGTTATTAGACTAAAGGTTCCTTTTCAAGTTTTAAAGTTCTACTTTAATGACTGAATTTTGTCTTTACAACTGAAAAATGTTATCTGATGGGGGGTTTTATTCAGTATAAACAAACCATCATTATTCCCTTTAAGACAACACAAATTTACATATTTATTTAATGCATTTAGCACAAAAAAAGTAAGATTTTATGCATTTGAGTAATTAATTTTGGCAAAACAGCCAGATTTTATCCATCAGGATTTGATTTAATATTTTTATTGATTAGTTTTTCCCCATCTACGTGTTAATTTAGAGGTGGTTAACAACGTT